AGCATTGTTGACCTAAGAGATGCACATTTTTCCCATTGATTCACAGAGTTCCTACTTCAGGGACCGAGCTGCAAATCTGCATCTGATTGTAAAGAGAAAATGCCTCGAAACCCAACGTTATTTCAGCAGAGATGAGGAGACAGTACATTTTGCATATTGACTCCTTAGGGAGGCTGCGGTCTCAATATCCTCACCTCCCCCAGTGTGCTCCCCTGTTGGGAGATACACACAAGGCAAGAAACCGATCCTGCGAAGGCGGCCGCGGATTTATGATGCGGAGGCAAGAGCACAGAACAAGGCCCATTCCCATCTGGGCCGGGAGCCACTGCCATACTTGGAGATTTATGACGAGGATGACACAGCTGATTACTCTTGGTTACTGAAGAGAATTGGACATGGACTGGCTTCAGCTCTTTTTACTGTGTGCATTTGTGTTCATGGGGCAAATGGAACCACAGAAAACCCAGATCTGTTTGTGGTCGTTGTCAGACTTGATCTTCACCAAACCTCCAGGGTGTCTATCTCGGAAGTTTCCCACGGACAAACATCAGGAAACTCGACGTGTTGTGGAAAAACGAATGAATGAAAAGTATTAGAAAAAAATGAAGGGAAGGAGAAGTGAAGGGATAAATAAATAACACACCCAGACTAATGGGAAAAACACATTGGGTGTTGTGCACGATGTCTCTGGATGTGAAGAATTGTGGAGACTTTGCTGTGACCCCACAAACCGCATGTGCTGTGGACTTTTCTTTATTCCTCTTGACAAATTTGTGGGTTCGGCATCACGCTGGGGCCAGATCCTGGACTTTGAGAGTTCAGCCAAACCAAATAATGGCTGAGGACTTGTCATGACCCCTCTGACCCTGTCTGGATAATGTTTCTGGATTATGGTCCCTGACACGCTCAACCAACATAGTGTAGCACCTTGTTGAATGTCACGTGAAATGGCTCTCCGCCCACCATGCCGAGACAGTAAAGCTGAATGAAAGAAATTGTCTTGTTCTCACCCGCTCAATAAATCACAATGAGGTCAAGTTCAAGCGAAAACAGCAAAGTGAAGCCAGATGTTTGTCTGTTTTCTTGTTGTAATGAGATTCAAGCTAGATGCACATTGACTGGGTTGAGCATCCGGAGTATTGTTAGAGGTTATCCATACTCCTCTATTTTATCTTAAACTGCTATATGTATATTTTTTTCTTGGTTTACAGTATGTGAGAAAAGACAAAGGAGAGATGCATGCATAGGTTGACATAAACTTGGAATAAGTGTGGCTTTCTCACAAAACACTTTTCCCTCCCGAAGCCTACTGTTAGGCCTTTGGGAGGCATAGAGTCCATTCCACGGGTCTCATTTCCCTGAGCTGTTTGGATGAGACTTTGGGTGAAAGGGGTTGCTCTGTGTGATTGATGAGCCATGGCCAATTAGAGGCTTAGCCTCAGAGGCCCACAAAGACACCCGTGATCTCAGACATAAACATTGGCGGCCATAGGGCCTGAGAATACCTGTTTTCCGTGGAAAGAGGGCAGGCCTTTGGCCAGCAGCTGTGGACGGCAGCAGTTCTTCTCTGGAGGTTTTGGATGCTTCACAGACTCAAAAATAACTTTAAAAAGATGTCGTTAGAGGAAGAACAAGAGTCTGTCCCACAGGGAAATTCCATTGGTGATGTCAGTATTCCAGCATGGTGCCATCCCGGTGGGGGGTAGGGTGGTGTACCGCTGCTCCAGCAGACGCCATGTGGTTGATGAGCAACAGGGCGCCAGGCAGGGGCTTGTTAGACAACCTTTGACAACAAGATGTTGCCCTTGAAAATCAATTATAAACAGGGAAGCATCCCTGCATCTGTTTTTGCTTGGAGTTATGCGGCACTGTCTGACGCTTTCTGTTTTTTTTAGGAGGTCTGACTCCACTGCCATTCAGATGGTCATCCCTGTGGGATTAGTGATGGCACTAAAGCCTGTGGGACAGTTCTTGTAAATCAGAGCAGATGAACTGCGGCGATGACAGGCCTGGGAGGCCTCCGTTATTTCACTAGGCCATTTACTGGGGCTTTCTGGGAGGGGGTGTCTCATTATAGGCGCTTAGTGTGTTCCCCAGTGTGAGACATGTAAAACTAGAATAAAAAATGATTTGGCCATTTTGTGAGGGCCATATGTGGGCGGCAGGCTGTTTGCTCGGAGTAACAGGGCCTTTCTCATTACTGTCTATTAATGGCCCTTCAGCACTTTGCTTACACAACCTGGGGCCCATGCTACCTTCAATTGATTCAACATGTCACCTTTTCACCACTAAGTGCGAGGGAGCTGTGTTTTAAATAGAAAACTGAGTAAATTCCCGGACCCTTGAAATGACTTAAGAGACCTGTTTTCCTCCGGCCACGCCAGCCTCACAGTAAACCAGACAGCCAGAGATCCTAATCCACCAATCTCACTGACATCTGCTCCCCCCTTCAGACTCAGTTTTTTTTGCTTGCCTTGAATGTAAATTGTGGCATTTTGAAGTTTTTTTAAAGGTGATTTACTTGAGCTATTCACACCCTAAACATATCAAAAGTCTGACATTGTTTTATCCCAGCCCTATTCTACTAGTACTCCAAATACAATAACTGTGGAACTAGACACTACGCCAGGTCGAGTATTCTCCGGCTGACATCAGCCCACTTTTACTCTGATAAACTACATGTCATCACTCTCACACAATACAAGCCTAAACTCCCTTTGTGTCTTTGTTTCCCTCTGGAGAGGATGTTTTCAGCCATTTGAAATTCTCAAGATGCAGTGAAAGCACTGTGATAAAAGGCCCCCATACTGAGACCACCACCAGAGGTAGAATAATTGGAAAGGTCCTCTGAAAGACCCATGTGGATTGAACAGACCTCACAAACTCCTCCTATTGTTCCTGAGCCATTCCACTCCACTCTGCCCATCTGTCCCCAGGTCCTGCTTTTTAGTCCACCTTATGGAGAGAAAGCTTTAAAGGCATGTTTGCCTTTGTTTTTCTCCACTGGAGTGAAACTGCAATTATTCAAACAAGTGGAGCTTCTTGACTTTAGGAGAACAACTTTGAAAAAAGAGTGTCAGAATAGCTGTTGTCTGAAAGCAGCTTCATGTCTTATGATATGTCATCAAACTCTGAATAATGAATTGTGTTTTCCGACTTTTAAATTAAAGATGAACGAGTAACAAATAAAACACCACAGGATATATTAGCCAGAGCTGCCGGCCTAATGGTCGGGCAGAGGCATATGTACAGCTGCTCCTTGGAATTCATTACCCTGAGCTACTCACACTCATTGGCAGAGGATAAACTATTCCTTGATGCAGCAAACAAATATTATTCCATTCCAGTCTAGAGGAAGAGGGGTGGTCGCCTGCTCATGAATGAGCCTGTTTGTTAATGCGAGGCCCGTGTTAAGGATGTCAGTCATCAGTAGTGGTTGCCTGCAGATTGCCATACCCAACCCTACCTAGCAACGGTAGAAAGAAAATGAAGTGAACGTGGAAGACTGAAATTGTATTAGAGTTCCCCAGAAATAAATAATATAGTGTAAAACCAGGCAATAAAGCTCCTTTTCAGCACTTGCATCAAAACTAAACCTATAGAGCTTGACCTGGGTCAATCCAGAATGAAATCGTGTACAAGAGCACATAACGGTTATCTCCTGTAATAAAAGTGCAGTTGTGCTGGGCCCGTGATGGCCTTGTGTGTATTGTTGGCATTCATCAGCCGCTGCATCTTGATGGTGCATGAAGATTACACCATGTAATCTTGGCAGGGAAGGAGGCGCTGGCAGTAGAGGAGAATGACTGAGATGAATCAGGGGAATTGGATGCTCAGCTTGGGTTGCAGCAGGATTAGAGTTCATTGACAACAACTGTGATTGTAAAGGATATTTGCATCAGGCCCATTCATAAAAAACAAACCATGCGTCATATGATTGTCTGTTAAGACCAAATAATGAACCATGCAACGGCTGCTAATTTAAATTACCTTTAAATTAAATTAGAAAACAAACAACATGGAGTGTTTTTCTCATATGTTGAATATGATCTTTGACAATCAGATGAACATAATAATTGTCCCCCCGGGTCAGTAAATGTTATTGTTCAAGGAAATGAAACACTGAAACAGACAATCATACTATTTTATTGTCTTTGTTTGAATAAGCTCAGGCTGCAAAGTGAAACCAGTGGTGAGCGTATTAATCAGAAGGTTTCCATCTTGTCGGCCACGGCTGCCAGGGCCAACAAGATGATCATACACATAAATTACGGGCCAAACAGCGGGGCGAGTCAGAGGACACACAAGGGCGGGAGGCAAAAGGCCAGACATTGAATTAGACAGCAATTTTGAATTAAATGAAACCCTTCTTCAGCTCAGATTTATGGCTCAACGACAAACTGACATCGCAAAACATGAAGCTCCAACTGGTGTTGGTTATGAGGGACCGTGTTTGGTGTCACGTTAAGTCTGAGCTGAGCAGACTGAAGTTCTTCAGGTGTGGAAAAAAATGCTTCGTCTTTAAACCAATAGCATTCAGGGAAGAGGATGAGAGGCACTATTTCACAGATGTAATAGATTTATTTAGCGTGACTTTTGTTTAGTCCGTATTAATCTCTGACAAATAAGACGATACGATGAATTGCATCTTATATCAAGATCTGGGTGAAGCTTGATTGTGAAGCTGTTTTGATTTATCTATCTTATTTCATGTCTTTGATTTTATTACAAAGCACTTTGAGCTACAGTTTATATTTGAAAGGTTTGGTATAAATACAATTATTATTATTATTTATTATTACTTTGCACAATCCAGTCTAGTGGTTACTTATAGGGTATTTGCACAATCCCTCCCCTCGAGCTTAAGGTATTTTTTTCATATTTTTTTTTTTTTTTTTATTTATATATTTTTTAATATTTATACAAAATACACCACAATAAAACACAATTCAGATAAATAATGAAAAGAAAAAATCAGTGTTGATGATGCGTCGCTGCAGCTCACAACCCGGAAGTGCTTCTCCTTTACCCAACGAGGTCAAAATGGCGGCTCGCTGCATGTGAAGGGGACTGGACGGGAGCCGGCTGAATGATCGGAGAACATGTATAAAACACCATGTAGCCGGCTGTCAGGTAACCGAGGAGGGGTTTCTGCTTCTTCGTCTCACGCGTCGTTGCATTTTTAAAGACGTTTTAAATGTTGACTCGCCTCAAACAGCCCCTCGAAGCTAAAGGCGGAAGCTAACCGGCTCGGTTAGCATGTAGCTATCCGGTGTGGATGTTTGGCTCGAGGCAGTGACCTTAAACAGAAGTCAGCCACATCTGCAGAGACCGAAATAACACGACCACTGACTGGGGGGTTTGTGACTTCACTGTTCTAACGTTTTAAAATCACACGTTGTTTACTCATGACAGGAAGAGTTAGCTTCAGAGTGATGGATGTATAATAGTTAGGTTGTCATTGATGCTAGCGATATGCTAAGATGTTGTTTTCCTCCACTGCGTTGAATCGGTGTGACATTTCTGTGTGCTCTCATTGTTGCACATGTTTAATGAACCATATCAGGAGCATAATGTAGAGTAATGTATTAATGATAAGAGTAAAAATGACCTTAACATCGAATCAACCCTTTCCTCTAACCCTTGTTTGAGTTGAATGTGTTAAAGATCACTACTAAGTTTGATAGTCAAGTAATTTGTGAACTTTATTGCCACATAACTCAGATGTTTGGAATTTGCCTCAGTTTGCCCACGAGACACAATCACAGCACAACACTAAACAGGAAAAGAAACACAATGCATTACCCCCTCCCAATAAAAACATGACGTACATGTGTTGATGTAAAATACAGAATAAATACAGTGCTGCTTTTTAAAATACCCACCATGGTTAGAGTCTTATTTGTATTTAAAGTCAATGAAGAGGAAAAATGTAATCAGTTCTACGTTTGCTGATGCCACCTGTTCACTTCAGTTTTTACAGCAGGTCCGAGCTTTGGTTTCTCAGCTTTATCTGTCTCTTAAGCTGCTTTCAGACACTGAACTCTTCTTCTCACCTGAATCCTGCGGAGGATCTGCCGCTGTTGTGAATGTGTTTGAGTGAAGAACCTGCTGCTGCTTTGTGCGTGTGTTGTTATCCTGCTGCAGAATGAATGTGGGACCAGATCAGAGATCTTGCTATGTATGATATATTATGTTATTGTGTGATGGATGAGAAGATAAACACTTAGAAGTGCCTAAAACTTAAGCACAGCACTGTCTGAGCGTAAAGCAAAACAGTACATACAAGAGCATCATGATGAAAGCTATGCAATAAAAATAAAGAATCTAAAAACATTTTAAATATAAACTGTCAATTCAAGAGAGGCAATAAGTAATTCTGATTCATAAGCTTCTTTCATGTTATGATAATTAGTATAATTAAGTATGGGAGGGCCAGGACCATCATGGGAATCAGTAGTTATTTTTGTTTCATGTAAAATTGAATATGTTTTTTGTATAGAACTGAAACAGTAGAACTGTCAATCAACAGGAAAACATTTTTTTTTTTTGCTCATTCAAGCAAAAATGTGATGATCTGTTACTGACACAATCAAGTAAAACCAAAAAAAGTATTGACTCTGATAACAAAGCATCCTGTCTTGTGTGTCTTGTAGGTTTGGTTGGTGCTAGTGTAAAACAGAAATTAGCTCAAATTATCCCTCGATGTGATCAGAGTGCCCGGAGTCTTATTCAGCTGCACAGAAGAGATCCATCAAACTGGTCGACCTATCAGCAGCTCAGCTTCCTTAAACGCCAGGTAGATTTCATTGTTTTTAGATTTTAATAAAAAATGACCGGTTGCTTGTTAATGCAATTCTCTCCACCATATTTTCACATTTACATTTTACACAACATTATTTACATTATTCATCCCCTGTTTTCCTTTCAGTATGTAGCAAAGAACAACACTGAGCTTCATCAACGTGCCATCCTGAAACAGGCACTGGTCCTGAGCATTGTGGATGAGAGAGATGACAGCATTGAGAGGCAGGTGGAGAGAATCCCAACCATTGATCCTGTGGCCACAGGCCCTGTGCCACATGCAGAGCAAGTCACCGGTCAGACGCAGTCTGAAGCAACCCCAGCTGCAGCAGATGTGGCTGCGCAGAAAGATTCTGTGTCCAGCACAGCTGCGAGTTCAGATGAGACTCCACATATCCAGGTGGAGACGGCTGAAGCAAGGGAGGCCCGTCTGGACAGACAGTGGAAACAGCTGAAGCTGGATGTGGTGGATTTACCGGATATCTACGCCAGACTGGCCAAAATCAAACTTACAGGTATCGTGCATCGTACATTTTGATAACAGGCTATAATATGAACTATTTAGAGAGAGAGATGTTGATACTTCCACAAAATGACCTGAATTGGTTCTTGTCTCACCTCTTTTTTATATTGAATTAGGCTTCTATAGCAACAATGCATATCATTTAAGGTGCTCTTTACTTTTTTAGTACTTTTTAAGTTCCCTTTATAATATTCTTCCTTGATGGTTTCAGCATTGGTGGTTACGACTGCAGCAGCTGGCTATGCAATGGCTCCGGTGCCTTTTGACCCATTAATCTTCTTCGTGGCCTCTCTGGGAACGGGCTTGGCCTCTTGCACTGCCAATTCCATCAATCAGGTCAGTTATCCTCAGAACACAAAGTCAAATGTGTATCTAATTAACTGTCAACTGTGTGTAAAATGTATGATTAACCACAGCTGATTGACTCAAACTACAAAGATGCCATAAGGCAAAAAATATTGAACACTAGGCTTGTGTAATTGTTTCAAGAATTGCCGTAAACACTACAAATGTTTCTGGCCTTAAATCTGTTTATTTTTAAGAACCAATTTCCTTTTGGAAAGAGCCTAACAACGACTAGTCACAGAGTTGGTGAGATGTCAGTACAATATAGTTTTGTTGACGTGTTTTACAAATATGAACGTTCTTGTTGACAGACACACCCACCCACTAGAAAAAGCTGAAAGACCCAGGGCACATCAATTTTTTAACCACTCCACATTCCTCTTTTGCTGCACAGCTCAAAAATGCATTGAGTTAACTGTAACTCTGTTATTATTTCCCAGCTGAAAGCTTTTTTTGAAGCTATAGACAAAGAGGAGCTCGTGCACCTACACACTTAAAATACCTGGAATAAGTAGGGCCTCCCTCGGCCGTCTAGTGTTGACATTGTGCATTGGAATTTGCTCCATGACTTAAGAATATTAGTATAATAGGTGACCTCTCCCTCAGCCGTAGATTGAACTCCTCTTAGTTGTGTCTTTGGCCTGTAATTTGGCAGCAGTCATGATTACACTGCAGGTTCCTGCCCTCGGGGCAGACCCTCCGCCCCCTGTTCTACGCGTTCAGTGTTTTGTTTTTTAACAATGAAGTGGCTCACCAACTGACACATAGTTTGTTCAAACAGCGACCATTCTGGACCTGAACTTGCTTCTGTCAAATGCGTAGGTGCAGTCAAACCCCCCCCTGTACTTCACCTCAGGGGTTATGTCTGTGGATACGCATGTGCAAATGTTTACACAATGTTGTTTTTGTTGTCAGGCCTGAATAGTGTCAATCAGTGCTCAAGTTAAGATTGTGTGGTCTCGTCAGTGGTGTTAAACAGAGCTCTGCCCTGATTCCTCTGAGCACCTCTACTGCACACTGAGCAGGTGTGTAAATATTCTTCAGGTATTTGAAAAATGTCCCCTTCTCCTCGTGCTGAAGAGAGTAGCCCCGACTCAAGCTCCGAGGCGTTCAGGGCGCTGAGTGATGTAAGAGGCGGCAGCCACCGTCAGTACCCTGGCTAATCTGTGGGCCCACCCTCACATCAGGCCTGTCAATCTTCATTTTGTCCACTAACACAGCTCGGGGTTAGGATATGACATGGCTTCATATTTCATAGAAACAATGTTATTTGGCTGTCAGTGCCTCTCTTGGTTTCCTCTATCCAGGTCTGTTTGCACACCTACAGTAAAGGTGACGTGTGGGCAAAGTTCACAACAGACGTTGCCCCCAGTTTTTTCCAATTAGACGTGTGTGAAAACCTGCTGGAAAAATAATAGTTATAAAATTATAGAATGAAGTCATGAAAGCCCTCAGATAGCACTGATATTAAAGAGGCAATATCACAAGTTTGTGGGTGTGTGAAAAGATAAAGATTCAAAGTTTATTATACATGTGGTTAGAGTGTGCTTTGGTAAGATTTATGGTATTTTCGGAATGCTTCACATGGTTTCTGCAGATAAATATACAGTGAACAGAAAAGAGATCCTGATGGAATATCACTTCAACATTCCTCTTTGTTTTCACAAATGGGCTTGTGTCTCTTTGGCTGAAATTCATCAGCGTTTATTCTGTTTGAGACCAAGAACTCCTTTTTTGTGGCTAGTAGCTGGTATGCGAGCCAGAGCATTCACACAAGTCAGATCCATTCTGCTTCCTCGTTCCCTCTTTCTCTGTGGGTACGCACTGTGTGTCATCATGGCCTTAATTGACAAGAGTTGGGGTTTGGAGTATTGTTTCAGGCAAATTAGCCACATGTCTACAAGCAAGGCCGACTTTGAAGTAGGTTATAAGACGAAGACATGGAAGGGTTCCATCTTTCATTAAAAATGTCATATGATCATCATCATTAACGAAGTAAGCGTGTGTACTGTTGGTATTGTCCTGTCTCCCTCTACTTGTCTGGTATGGAGAGTATATGTCTGTGAACATGCGATGTAAGAGCAGTTGTTCGTGTTGCTTTGTTTGGAGAAGAACGTATATTCCTCAGTGTAATTACACACACAGAAGGACAGGGGCTGTCATGTGTGACAAGTTTTTGCCTGTTGCACTGCCTCTGTGGCAGCACTCACACACTCAGGATTGTCTGTCAGAGACACACCCTCAACTGGTTGTGTGTGTGATCTCAACACTTGGGTCATCTATTAGTTTTTTTTATAATCCTGCTCAGAGGAAACAGTGGAATGGTGAAGATAAACATCTGACCTTCAGATCGGATGCCAGGGTTTTTTCCTCTCTTTCATCTTAAAGAACTGGTGCATTAGTGTGGTTGGTTTTAATCAAAGCTGGATGTCTTTTATATGAAAAATCCAACAAAACCCTGACGAACGAAGATCCTATGGATTCTACTGTTCCTCCCTAAATCCATAATTCTCGGAATCTAAAAGGGAGTGAGCGAGCATGTGACCACACAACTGTCAAATTACCTTGAGGAGAGGAGAAAGATGTCTTGAGGGAGTGAAAAATGCTTTGGCTCTTGAAAGTGGCAGCCAGGCCTTCAGTTGAGCTGTCAAAAGCCAAGGCAGCTCTTTGTCCCATTGGATAGTGCCCGTAGGGCAAACAGAAATGTTGTGGTCTCTTTTCAAAATGTTACTCTACTTAGGAAACTGTCGGAAAGATGTAAGCACATGGAGTCACGTAACAATGGCAAGTCAACATCTAGAGTTTCACACCACAGTCCAAAACCGTAACTCTGTCATTTCTGTCTTACTGTCAAGAGAAGATAATCAAGTCCAACAGCAAAGGGATGTAATTATTTCATCTCCCAGTCCAAGTGGCTCTCATGCATGGAACGGAAGAACATTTTAGCCTGTTAGGTTTTTTTTTTTTATGCCTCCATCCTGCTGCTCACCTTGCCTTAAAGGTTCAGTGTGTAAGATCAAGGTGAAAGCCTGTGTAGAGGTGTTCAAGCATAAAATGGTTAATACTCTGCAGAGAACCTAGAAATAGCTCAGCCTGTTCAAGGCCATACCTAGGTTTCAATACAGAGTTCCCTCTGTTCATGCAGGATAGAATTGAACTAGGTAGCATTAGTTGAAAAAAGTGCAGGTCTGTATGCCCCCTGGGCCCCACACCTGGCACAACCTCTGCAGGTGTTCCAGCTGTCATCACCTTCCAGTTTGGCCACTACTTCGGCTAATTGGATAATTGGATCAGATGAGAGTTTTAGGCCGAAGCCTTAAAGACCCCGGGGAAGTCTGAGGTCCCCTGCAGTGCAAACAAGGCCCGATGTGGCCTTTTACTCTCGATTAAGCAGCGCTCGGCTATTCTGACTTCAGCTGCGGTGTAAGTAACACCTTGTCTGCTCGCGTGTTGGTTTTGATGAACTCTCAAGCTGGTTTTTTTGTGGCTGCCTCGTGTCATTTGTATTTTCGTGACGATGACAACAAGTTTTCTTTTTTGTCTGAGTATCTCCTGTGGCGAGCTGTCTCAAGGCTAGCACGCAAAAGCGAGCCCCCACAAGCCCCCAGCCCATCCTTTCCTACCACTCTGAGCTCCACCCTTCTCTCTTGTCCTGTGCAGGCATGCATTATTTACCCTCCTGCATGTTTCCTTCTGAGTTCATCTTGGTCATGATCTTCGTGTGCACGGGTACATGACTAAACATGGGTAGAGGCTATGCAGAGGATCGTGTGTTATCAGGACACGATAATAACATGTTTGATATTCTTCTTTGAAACCTTTTTTAAAGCAGAAATACTTTGGTTCACCAGGATTCTTTAAAATCTTAGATCTCTTGGTTACCAGGGTCAGTAATCACACACCTGACAGCTGAGTAACCAGTTTGTTTTACACTTACATCACCTGAAAAAGCTCATTAACCAGTTTTGACAGATTGTTTCTTAACTTGTGTATCAACGATCAGCCGAACAATGGCAATTGATTCAAATTAATAGCAGTTGAATATTAATTTAATCTGACTACGCAACATAGTGTCAACGTTCAACTTTCAAAAGCATTGTCAAGCTGCTGAAATCACAGTCTACTGTTTCCAGCACATGCTAGTACAATGCAGGCTTGTTCTCGCAGCTGATATCTTTATCTCTGATCTCTATCTTTATATTGTTTGCAGTGGCAGTCATCTTGTTAATCATATTTACCCAAGTGTTTGGAGGTCAGATCGGTTCGCTGCCATTGTGAACAGCATCCGAATGATCCGAATCAAGACTGGAAATTCCCTCATGTTATTATACATATTAAATAATTCCTTATGGCATATCTAGTTTTGGACATAAATCTGGGTGTTTTTGAACTGTAGTGATTCAAATTTATAGGCCTGTCTCAGTGAAGGTCACACTTAGTTGAATAAAATTGTTTTTATAACTGCAGTCAGAAAGTATTAGAGCCGTAACATATTTTTAGTTTGAGCTCTGGACTTGCAGCATGTCTAATTTGAAATGAAACATGGCCTATGGAAATTTAAAATCTGATTCTGGGCTTTAATGACGTCTACTATTGTAGGAAACTGAAAGTAATCAGAATTCAAATTCACAAAATTATGTTAAGTCAAAAGGTTTATGCAGTAATAAAAAATTGCAAATAATGAGCCATCCCATAATTAACAGGATAGCATGCAGTTGCCAGTATAGTTTTTAAAAACTTTTTCATAGAAGTCATTTCTATGGAAAGGTGTCAACATCACAAGGGCAGCAAGACGTGTGGAATCATTTCTTAAGTTGCTTTATGAGATTCTTTCTGATGTGGTTATTTGTAAATCTTCCTAATTCAAATCGTCAAGTCTATACTTGACCACTACATTCTCCAAAGATAAACACTGTAGGTATTTTTCTGCAGTGTACATTCCGTGTACTCCTCTTGGTTCTAAGACGGTTGTTGGTGACGTCTCTATTCCT